GTTCGATTGGGGTCAAAGTGACGTATATACGTACGTAGACATAGCAATTTTGTACTACTGCATAAAATGCTCGTTTCATGTTATTTTCCTGTCAAGTGAATAGGTATTTTTGAAAATCAAAATGTTGAAAAAAAGTTGAAGCGTATTATACAATATTACAGATGCTTGACTTGTACGAAAAAATCAACGCAACAACGGCTCAGTACAAGGACAAAAACGACGAAGAGAAAACGATCTCATGGGATGAGGCATGTTTGAAGTGAGGGTGTTAAAACACGCATATGTTATGCATCAATGCAATCAAATTTTACTTTGACAAAAAATTGTACGATCTTGGCAGAATTCCTACACCGAATGGACCTCGTTGTACGGAGCGGAGCATCCTAGAAATTTACCGATACGATCGAACGATAATCGAAAAATTGAAAGACGAAGATATTTTCCAAACCGTGAATTCTACTTTTACGAGGTAATTCTTTTTTCAAACCTACTTCCGTATATATTATTGTTTGATAAGAAGGAGCTATATTTAGCCAGATATTTCTCATGCATGAAAATTATGGAATTCTTTTTCCCCGAATTTCTGTAGTCCAATTTACGGATCGAATTTCGACTACTTGACAACCCTGGGAAAACCCGTGAAAAATGAGCAAGACTCACAAATCGGGGCTGAAGCTCTTCGGATGAGGTGGATGATTCAAATCGACGTTGGTCAACTCACCGGAGACGAGAAAACCGAACGAGTATAATTAATCTTTTGCTTTCTTGATGATTCTCATTCCTTACAGGTTTTCTTGATGAAAATTTATCGTCGAAATGGATTAGTTTAATCGAACTAAAATTGTTTCATCATGAAGTTTAGACATTTTAATTACGATAATCAAATGCGGTCATTGTTACTCGCAACACCCGAAACACCAGCATCATTTATTTAATTCTATGGTATACCAATTAAGAACTCCTGCTGTTGGAGAGGGTATTTATAAATGGAGTTCGAAATGCAATAATGCTAGCTGTCAGATGAATAAAATGTGCTTTGATATGATGTATTGGAAGTTGTGGAACAGTCATATTTTAAAAATTATTTTCGTATATTTTTAGCGAGAGTACTCTTGATGAGTTGCATGGAATTGAGGTCAATCTGTGATCATGTTATTTTAGAACATTGAATGAGACCGAACACCGGGAAAAAGCTATCCTTTTTAACTTCTATAATTTACCATCCAGTCATCTTACAATTGATGTTTTAGTAATGCACATTTATTGTACATTAATTTAGGCAACTATACACTACATAAACATTATTCGCGACTATTATCAGTATTATGATGGACAAAGCTGGAAAATGTACCAATCAAATGACGAATTTTTCTCGAAGTTTCCTGTACGGAAACTTTCAGCTTATATCCATAATTTTCAAAATATGTCATCAAGAATTTTAATGTTTCCATTTTTATTTTGAAAAAGGTCGATAAAGCGACGTTGGCCTGGGAAAGTGCTTTCGTCGATACTGTGGACGCATTCACGAAAGAATCTGAAAAAGAATCGGAAGTATTTCAAAACGCTGCTAGAAGTTTCATGGATGCAACTGCAGATGCCATTCTCGGAGATTTGCAGCTTTTGTTCGGTGGATACGTGCTAGTCTTCATCTACGTAATTCTGGTCCTGGGAAGACGGAATCTCGTAGAAATTCGGGTAAGGTTATTCTTCCCCCATGATCTGTCAATAAGGAGATGAACGTGCAAGATTGATGGATAATGAAAAACAGATCAAAAGCTTGTTCGATTTTTGACGATCACGCCATAAATTTCTAGAAAATAAAGTTTGACTCTCCCTACAACAAAATTCTCTCTACATGAAATCTTTTTCTTGGTTTCCTCGAATTTCGTTGCAGCTAACCCCTTCAACGGGGGAGAACCCCATGGGACAAAAATCGTTGCACAGAGACAATTGTCACAAAGATAAAGTCCATCTGCTGTAGTTCAATATAATTTCAAGAATGATCCAACAACATTTTCTTCAAAAGTCTGCCGAATTTGTGACGATCTATGAATCATACTCATGCGGGGTTTACAACATATATCGTTCAATCATGATAAGATAAAATTTTTAATCAAAGCACTATCTCCGCGAGGATTGAAATTCAAAACGCTCAGCTGAACTAAGTTAAAAAAAACTAGCAGGACTTATTCGACTGTAATTCATTTACTCGCTTGAAAAAATAATGATCAGATCATTAAACGACGGGAATTTATTTTGCTTCGAAGAAAGTACCTCTTACGTATATATAAGCGACTGCAAATTATTTGAATCAGGATACAATTCTAAACCAATCCAAATTAATCTACAAAAAGTTACATAATTCATTCTAGTTATATATAAACACTGATAAAGTATTATTTATGGCATGTGACTATAAGCATGCTATATTTATACAGATACCTTTTCCAAACTGCGATGTCAAGTTTCCGGATTATTCGATTGCTTATTTTTTTATAAATTCAATATCCGCGTAAAATACGCTGATAGCATCATAAATCAACGATTTCATTCCATTGATGATGATTGCAATTCAAACGATTGATTTATCATCACTTTCAATAGTGACGACACACCCAAAAATTATCAAGCTAAAATTCAATAAACCAACCTTATGCCGATCTTTGAAAAATAGTTTATGTAACGTGACCTTAATGGATTATTTCCTTAAAATTGCACAAGATTACAGCACTTGAATAAAATCGGAGAAACTCGAGGATTACAGAAAACAAGCGTTTATATGTGAAAACTATTTTTATATAAGGGAGTATTTAATACTACTGTAATACTAATGTAAATATTCAATGGGGATGAATCATGCTTAAATGTTTGTGAACCACACATATTCGAATTTATTGAAGGAGCATGAATAAATTATTGGCGATTAAATTATCTTTTTCCTTCGCAACGATGAAAATTTTAAGGCAGAAATAATTATCTTTGAAATTTGTTTCCTTTATTTTGTTAATGCATGCTTTTCAAATGTATTTTTCGAAACAATGAAATCATCTTTTAAATAAGCTTATCAAGCATGAAATCAAATTTCAGGCTGGTCTTGCTCTGGCTGGATTGGCGAGCATCGGGCTCGGGATTCTGCTGTCGTACGGACTCAGTTCTGGACTCGGAATTTTTTTCGGGCCCTTGCACCAGATTCTACCATTTTTGTTGCTCGGAATCGGCATCGACAACATGTTCGTCATTGTGCAGTGCTACGAAAACCTCGACGATGACGAGAAACTGGAGCCACTCGACGTTCGAATCGGCAAAACAATGAAACACGCCGGGGCCGCGATCACTGTCACTTCCGGCACGGATTTCGCCGCGTTTGCCATCGGAGCGTCGACGGTGAGAGACGGCATTTGGTAATGATTTCGTGAAAAAGTTCTAAGTTGGACGATGCTGCCAAAATTATGTAGTAAATAGGTTATGCACGGATTAGAAGAAGCTCTCGCAGCAATCGCTCTTCAT